TTGCTGCTTGATTGTCTAGTGCAATTAGGATAGACCTGGCACGTGGGAACTTGTCAATTAGCTTCAATGCTAACAGGATACCGACTAATTCTCCTTCGAAGACAGTGTGTTTCTCTTGTGGTCCTAAATGGAAGAGAAGATAGTCACTGGTGAGTGGAATTACCGCTGCGGCACCTATGTGATTTTCGAGACCCGATCCATCTGAGTATATTTGTAGGTCGTCGATTCGTGTCTGTATAATTCGGGCAGCTTCTTCTTTGTTCTCTGCTATGTGGTGTGTAAAGGTGGGTTGCCAGTTTGGGTGTTGTCGGTAGGGGTTGATGGTTTCGATGTCGTGGGGCACAATAGAGAATTGTCGAAATAGGTTGTGTATACTCGATCGGTGTCTTTTCGGGGTCCGTCGCCCGGTAGATCTTATGATGGGGGCCAGAAGATGTGGGGATGGGAGTGAAGCCAGTCGTAACGTTTCGCGGAAGCACATATCTTCGAGAAGGATTTGGATTGTGAGGGTCAGCTTATATGCATTCACGTGATGCATGCACATTGATTTATTTTTCCTCGAGCGGCATCATTGAAGTTGAATTATGACGTCAGTACGTTTCACAGCTGAGATCTGAGAGGTTTTAGCTAGTTGACTCGCGTCGTTTCATGTTCAAAAGAGGAGGGTATAGAGATAAGATACTACGGACGGGGAGGGACAGTAAAGGTAAGCCTTAGTCGGGGCCATTACAGGTAAGCAACTATATATGTGTACCTAATAAAGGTAGCTAATCTACTAGTCAGCATAGGTAAACCACGAATGTAAGGAATGCTACTTACCCCTTAGTTGGGACACTAAAGCAACTACTCTATGCTTATTTACAGGGTTTCTCATACCTTGTCCGCGTGTGTTTTCTTTTAATTTTCTTATTACACAAGCGCCCATCGGTGTCAGTGAGGACTTCAAGCCGGCCTTACTTACAAACTTCTGAGACAAGCCGCAGCTGAGTGAGATGAACCGCCCCGCGCAGCGAGCGCAAATATGGCGACAAATTTTGAGAGAGAAATGTTGGTCATTGTTGATAAGTTCAAGAAATGATGATTGCACAATATATCGCCATTTTATGGTTTACTTGTTATCTTTTAAGGGCACAATACCCGAACCCAACTTGCTTGGGTTTTTTTTTTTCATAAAACGGGGTTTATCCTGGTTATTCATGATGCTTCCAATGCAATTATCACCAGTTTATAGAAGAAATGCTCGCACAAAAAATATATATTCACGAGTGCTTATTCAAAATTTAAAAAAATCGCGCGCGGACAAGGCTTATGAGAACAAAGCCTGTAATAAGTACCGTAAGAACATTATTCAGATTTTATATAATACAGGCCTGCATATGCCTGCGCAAGGATTGAATTTATTTTTTTTTGCGCTCGCGAAGACAACTCTTGCTTATAAGAAGGAAGAAAAGGAAGGATACATGGACGACAGCTCATCGAGTCTCATCTCAGTCAATATTAATTATCAACGTCGAGCCGCCAGATTCACGCAGTCAAGATGATATTTTCTGGTGGTTCTGCCGACAATCTATGCTAGATATTCAGCACATTACGATCAATACGCACAACAGCGATCCCCCGGCTAGTGGATAGTTGTCTCGGGCAAGTCATATGGTTTCGAGGAAATCAGAGCAAGGGTGCATGGCAAGCTGTTGTTTAAAACATTATTTATTGATGCTGTACTTACGGAGTGTTCTTTCAACCAGGCTTAGCCACATCCTTGAAATTTAATTATAAGGTCAGTGAGTCACAAGTAACAGGTTAGTTAAACAATATTAATCCCCGTCTTGTCTCCATCAAATTTTCCATGTTAAACAGAGAGGACGACGTCGGTATGTCAACTACTGCTTAAGCCATACATAATCTCATTATTATTTACACCGGATTATCCATAGTCGCAGTGATCGGTCCAAACCATATAGGCTAGATGATTTTCATCGCTCACAGAAGTCGTTGCTAATCTCACCAATGTTCAGATTATCCTATTGTGGTATGGGCTACGCATCGCCTGGCGCAATTGTCATGCAAGTCTGAAAAGTCATTACAATTTAATTTCCCTGTTAATTGCTAATATCCCCAGGGGTGTGGACCATACATTTGGGGTAGAAGAATTAGGTTTGCTACTCTTCCCTGATCTTCAGCTAAAGCTAAGACAGGCCATCAGCACGACAGCTTGCAGATACCAAAGCTGACCTCTTGATCGTCCACCCGAGTTCTAAAGATGTCGCGTTAGAGTCTGTCTGTATATCCGAAGATCGTCTGCTTTACTTCTCCCCGTCTAGCTCCCCAGAAGTCCTTTCGGGGTGTTTTGACAGACGATCTTGTACTGGGTAGGTTGTGGAGGTAGGAGATTTATAAGGAACGTAAACCAGACGACGGAGAAAGCAAAACAAGGCTTGCTTTCTTGGCATGCTCATCACGAACCACCGGAAAGCCGGTGGTCCAGTAACCATATCTCATTTCGCGGTTGTATCTAACATTTTGCAATCAACAAAATTCCAAATCCCAGACTTTTCCAGTACATCACAGCACTATCGCGTGGGGGATGTGATTGTTGGAGGTAAATCTGTGCTTCCATTCTTCCGTGCGTTGCATACACCACCATTAAATATGGGCTCATCACAAATAAAGATATACCGATGTCTACGGACTGGCCGCAAATGTACGTGACCCAACATTTACATAGAACTCTGGGAATTGGTGACCACTTCCATCAGCTGCACTGCATGTTGTTCAGCGGGGTGGGTCTTTATTTTCGTAATTGTTCTGTGCCCCAAAACAAACACGTTTGAGGTAACGCTGGTGGTTATCTCCAAATTCAATCACGAGGACATGCTCAAGAGTATCGTGGATTACAGAATCAAGCATTTATTGTACAGATTCTTTCATGCGCTGAACGTAAATCTGGATATTTGTCTGATCATTGATTCTTAGTGTTGTTCCACCCAGATTATTCTCTTTTGTAAAACGAGTAAACTTCCGATCCCTCATATCGTGTCCACTTGACTAGTTCCTCCCAGCATTCAGCGACAAAGAATTATGACCTAGCGTATGTTCGCTCCGTGTTGGTTGACGGAGCCCCATTCTCTGCGAACCTCATGAAACAGTTTCCTGAACTGCTCCCCTGGGTCGAGATTGTCCTAGTATATGGTACGACCGAAATGCCGACCGTGGTAGCAATGGTGGATTTTGCGTCGTATTACGGCATCAGAAGGAAAATTCATCTCAATGTCTTTACACCAGACACCCCCGAGACAGAAGATAGGTACGCCAGGAAGCGTAGGCTGCTTACTCCTAGACGTACAAGCTTGAGTAATAACCTCCAAAAGTAATTTGGCGGGACTCGAGGAGCCCGGAGAATTGGTTGTTACAAGTCCACAGATTGTCTCTGGGGTATGTTAAGAACGTCGAGCGTAAGTCATTTTTTGCGAAACTGATAGGCTCGTTTATCGACCTGTCTGTTAGGACTGAGGAGACTTTTGTTGATGGGTATGTACTGTGCGCTGTTATTTGATAGCTCTTACAGCTTACACTAGCTGGGTTTATACTGGAGACAGCGTGGTCACAAGGGAAAACGGCGATATCTTCATAGTGGGTCGCTTGAAGATATGTCTTTCAGAACTATATGAACCTCAATATCGTTGCTATTGGGAAATATTTAAAGTACGCGGTTTCCAAGTTTCTGCAGCTGAACTAGAAGGCCATCTATTGAGTCACCCTGACGTAGCGGACGCCGGAGTCATTGGCGTCCCCTCATGAATTCAGTGGTGAGATGCCTATGGCCTTTGTTACACTTAAGGCGGATGACTCTCCACTTGTTGCAGACGATCCGGAAGCTGCCAACAAAATCAAAGAAAGCTTGAAGAAGGTGCGATTGTCTGTTAAATGAAGCTATCGAGTTATTATATCCTATAGTTCGTGAGTAATGCGAAGAGTCAATACAAGTGGTTAGCAGGGGAGGTTTACTTACTATAAAATGTCCATCACTTGAACATGCTCAATATATGGGATTGATGACATTGCAAGCCTATAACCTACTATGAGTGATCTGGTGTCTTGAAAAATTATGACACTTGGTGAAACCCCAAAAAATCGTTGGGTGTAGTTCTCATGTCAGGTAAATTTTCTATAGGATATTAGTAAAGGCCCAAGAATATCTATATTTATTTATCAAGCACCTGGTCACGTAATAAAAGATGCGTACGGAAAACAACGGCCAATCAGCCGGCCTGATTCAGAAATGGGAAGCCGTATAATCAAGGCTGTGTCCTCAGTGAACTATCTGGGAGTTATCCTAGACCAAGAATAAGGTGGAAGGAACAGACAATTCAACCATTAGCGAGAGGAACGGCGTACAAGTGGATATAGATATATTCTGCACGCCACTGAGGAAAGGAAGTAAAAAATCTTGAGAAGTGTAGGAGCGGTGCGAAAGTTGGCAAGAGTTCAGAGGATGGCAGCATCACTCACAACGGGAGCGATGCGTAACCACCCCCCCCAAACGACAACCTGGATGCATAAATCTAATCCCATCGAACCCGTAACCTTAAGGCTCTTACCCGGTCAGAGGGACCGTAAGAGCCTCACGCTCTGCCGATTAAGCTAGCAGGGCTTGATTCATAGGAGGCACATCGTAATACATGTTGAACCACAAGACCCGTTGTTACATTCTGCATTTGAATCTGCTATTTTTTCACCCATTCCAGACTCATTTGCCATACTACACCTTAATTTTGTTGTACTAGTATTTAGAGTAACAAAAGGATAAATTCATAAGGCGAAGTCCGTATATCTTGGGGTGCGAACTTTGAACTTCTATGTAGTTATGGATTATAGATATTTGGTACTTAATGGCTAGTTCCATAATTTTTAAAAATATTTCACGCACTTGGAAAAAGATATATGTATAGTTCAATAGGAAAACTCATGAAGGAACCGGTGATTTAGCAAAATAAAATTATAGCTCCGCACGAGAGTCGAACCCGCAACCTTAAGCCTCTCACCCGGTCAGAAGGACTGTAAGAGTCTCACGCTCTACCATTGAGCTAACGGAGCTTAAATTACGGAGGGCATATCGTAATACATATTGTTGTGGTTCCACCCATTCTAGACTTATTTGTCATACTACACCAGGGAATGGATCCAGTAAAGTATTAGCACAGACACGAATGGGACATAAGCCTGAATAATAACCTTCTTTCGGTTTAAGCAAGAATTACTACATTAAAGGACATTACAAATTTCGTAAATACACTAATCATCATGTCGCTACCTTAAAAAAAAAAGGAGACAACGAGAATCGTCCAAAAAGATATAAATCAAAAGTCATTGGATCTTATTACGGTGGATCTTATTACGACGACAATGACGCGGTATTGGATGGATCAGCGGCACTGCCTTTTACCTCCGAAGCCTGAGGAGTGTCACAATTTAAAACAGTTGAATGTAGAATGAGCAATAAGCTTACCGGAGGAGTCGCTGTTGGTGTCGGAGCAGAGATAGTGTTAGCGGGCGGTGCCAGAGAGGATGCCTTGGACGATGTTTCAACGGAGGCTGGCGTTGCCGGCGTAGATACAGATTTGCCGTCCGTCACCGTTGCGCCGGGTACAGTGGATGTGCTTCCCTTTGCAGACTCCGAAGATGCGGCCGACACCATCGACGACACTGCTTGCTTCTGCTCGTATGCAATGCGTTAAGAGGATCGGTTGTGAAGTATTGTTAATAACATACCAGTGCAGGCAAAGGGAGGTCAAGCAGGTTCAAAAGGTCCAGGTGATAGCTATATTTCCTTTAGCGACCAGCAGTGAGATAAGTGACAGTCGCTTACGTCGTCGGCACCCCAGGCTGTAAAATGACCAACCAAGGAATCTCGTATCCTCCCTGACCAATCCTACAAGATAGATTAGCTTGATGGCATTTTGGTGTAAAACTTGACCTCATACAGGACAGTCTGCGCTGCACCAATGTCGAGCATTCCCAGTGGTATAATACCAAGGGAGTTAACAGCACCTTGAGTTAAGATAACGTTGGGGACACTGCCGCTATTTGCCGTTCCATGGGCCGGAACAACGAAGTTGTCGAACGCTTGATCAAAGTGCGCAAACACCTCGCCATTAACCATCGCATCCGCTTGAACAAATTTGATAACCAAGTCAGCATCTGTGGGGTTTACTACATCGAAGTCTATAGTGACCAAATTCGTGACCAAACTAATTATAAGACAGGTTATTGAGGGTATGTTGTAGGATGGTACAGGACCCACCTGTTCAACGTAATGAAGACATTGATGTGACTAAGGAGCTTTTGGTTTTGGCCTATGCAAAACCTGAGTGGATGCTACATCAATACCCAATGATATACTTACCGGTAAGGGAAGTATCAAGTGACACGCCGCTTAGTGCTGGTTGTAACGAGGCGAAGGGTGAACTGGCAGAATCGCCTTTGATAGTTAATGGCAACGAATTCGGTGTGGTGAGGAAAGCGGACAGGAAGCTTTGCGCAATGGTATCATTAGGATTAGCTGGCATATAATGGAATTCAGAAGGCTGGACGTTTTGACCAGGAACTAGGTCGAAGTTCTGTGTAGATTCTAATTAATGTGGTGATATAATTGCATTTTGTGCGCTCTCACGTTGATTGCAGCACGCCCAAGCTATTGTAATATGAGTATATGAAGGCTCAAGGATTGCAAGACACAAACCTCTACACCTTTGAACAACACAGGTAGGGATATACCAGTTGTCACCAAAGAGATGTTCGAGGGGTTTTGCAACGTCGTTAGGAGAGGGGAGACTATGAATTGGTCACCGCCATTGCCCCCACTCCCAGTTATGGTTACATTGCTTAGGGCCGCTGTACCGCCGAAACTGTTGATTCCCGCAATACTCGAAGAAACGTTGAAGGGAATACCCGAAATGCTGCAAACTTAGATAAGTAACTATACGAGGCAGAAGGCTATGGACCCACGGGACGTCTCCGATTGTTGTATGTGCCACAATGTCCGTCGACCCTTTCAGTGTGATGGCTGCCGATTGTTTATCAGTTACCTGAGCAAAGAATGATCCGAAGACGTTGTTATTCAAAGCGTTGAGAGTTTGATTTTCAAAACTAAGCGTGAGGCTAGCAACGTTTCCTGTCGAAACACCGCTGATTGTCGGGGACGAAGGTATTTTAAGCTAGCCCAAACGTTAGAACACTGATATGCCTCGCAATGCTAACCTACCTCTGCAGCATCGGCACCATCGAATCCAATGGTGATATCCTGTGCCGATCGGATTACTTGAAGAGAGAAACCAAATGGATTCTTGAATGTCGCCGCAGTAGTCTTTGAGCTTGTTAGTGGTTTGAAGTCTTCGCTAGGTTGATCCAACACCAGTTCAAGGTCCTCGATTGTTATGGAATCGATAATCTAAAGTAGACATTAAGATCAACAATGGCACCATTCTACCATCCTGGCGTACTTGGAATATTTGGCCGGGAAGCGTGACATTCAAAGTCAAAGTTTTAAACGCTGTGCTCAACCACGAAACTGTTTGACCATTGCCGTTGGGGTCTACAGAGTTACCCTGTACTTGGAGCGTCTGGTTTTTTCCTGCCAAAAAGTTGGAGAAAAGAACACCGATCACATCGAGATCGTTCCCGGTTTGCGGAACGATACGTCCACCGAGGTGCTCTTTAGTAACGGCCTCTGGGGCCAGGAACAAGTTTGTACCGGTCAAGGCTAGTCCGAAAGTTTAATTTAAACGACGAAAGAAAACATAACAGCAGAACATACGGCCGACCAATACACCGTTGAAGAGTGAATTGAATGAGACGGTGCCGAGCTGGATGCCGAGTTGCCTGTAGCAAAACGTATAAGTGAGGCCTACAAAGGATGGTGAAAGTGCTACATACGCAACGGATGGAATCAAGCTGTCCGTGGATATCGTGATTCCACCAGCAGGATCATCAGCAGGCAATTGGAAGTTGCTGATAGTGACCCCGGGCAGGCCGTTAAAGGCCTTGAAAGTGACGTTCTTCGTCAAGACAACATCATCAAATATAGTACCAAGAGCGGTCAGGCGCAGCTTGTTAGTTGAAATGATCCACTCGAAACTTGGGTTATGCAACAAGAAAGTAGCAAAATCCGTAAAACTGTTAACTCCTATTCAAAATTACCGCTCCAATACGCAGTGAAAAGACATACGCTCCGAGGTCAGTGATAGTCAAGCGACCTTGACTGAAAGTGGCTAATTAAGATACTGAGAAGTGTAATATAGATGCCACATACGTCCGATAATCTGGAACACCGACATTAGCCGCAGCGCACACAGGTGGCAAGGCAATCGTAGCAATATCACGGCCTTGGAAATTGACCCTACAGGGAACTGAGAAGAGGCAGGCATCATTTTAACTGAGCACTCACGTAACGGGTTCAACAAATGTGATCTCCGCATCCAACGGACCGGTGCCGGTTAATGAACCTTGAAGGGATACATCGAAGCCTTCGTCAGAAATATTCCTATAGGTATATCGTTAATTTGATGGCGTAGACAACACATTCAGTGAGCATACGTGATGTTAGCACTATTAAACGTCAAGGCAGCTTGGTTGACCAGTGTCTGCACAACGGGAGGTGAGACTGCTCCAATCAAGAAGAGGGCAGTCTTATCTGTCTATAACCAATATTAGGGGATCGAAGATATTAAATGGAATTGATACATACCACGGCGGGGACATTGGCTTGGTTGAAGGTCAATTCTGTCTCGAAATCGTCCAGCTTAACAAGACTGTCAACCTCGAGTGTGACCTCGAGACCAGCAAGAGCGTTCAGAATGGCATCATTGACGTCAAACTGTTTGCCGCTGTGAATGGGACAGTACTGCGTCAAACTTGACTAATAAGCTTGCATCAGAAGGAGGAACTGACCTAACACATGTTGGAGGATTAGGATCAATAGTTGCGACGATCTTTGTCTAGATAGTAAACAATTGCTTAATCCTTGCACAAGGAAGTAACTGACTGGGGGATGGAAATCTGGATTCTCCACGACTAATTGGAATAAGCCCGTTAGAGGACCTAAATCGACGCCTTTCTGTTGGGACCTGATTAAGAGCAGTTGAATAATCGTGGCCGGATCCAAATTGAACTTGAGAGGAAGGGCGGGCGACGTAATATTCGTGTGTCCATCAGCATGAATTGGGTTGGAAGACAAGTCGACGTGATCCACCTTTCCTGCTCAAAGCTTAGTACAGTGGTGAGATACAAAGACGAAAGCCAGTACACACCCAATGTCAGATTTTGGAAGACAGCGTTGGCACTAACAACAAGAAGGTTGATGCTTGCAGTGAAGGGATTTGATAAAGCGACAGTAGCAGAGGCAATACCGGTCTTTACGATGTCCGGCGGAAACACGATATTCGTTGCAGTAATCAAATTCTGATGTAAGGCGGGAATGTCTGCATTCAGAGTTATTTGCTCGAGAGCGGGTACGAGGGACTCGACATTGGTGGTATCTGAAGACCCCACGATAACAGTTTGAGAAGTGACGCCTTGTAAGAAGTTTTCCAGCAAGGTACGACCCGCAGCTTCCGCTCCGCCTTGGGGTTGGAAGTGGACATCTGACGACAACCATGACATAGATATGCAAATGGGATATATTTAGCATACCTGTAGAGTAATTGGCATCTCCAGGGATGACCTTCAAACCCGACTATATAGATGGCCAGGAAATGAGTTGTGGGATATGCGCGTAAGTAAAAACATACAATGTCAGCCTGTCCAATATTTTGGTTTCTGTTACAATGTTCACATCAACAAGGCCATGAGGAGGGAAAATAGCATACTCGAATAAGAGATTGAACGCGACATCTCCGATAGCGATAGTCAAATTGCTTATGAAAGCGGTATCAGTAAAAGTTATTGATAGTGAGAGAATCAATACCTTGGATTATTGAGAGTGGTTGTCACCTTGATAAGAAGGAAGTCTGGGAAGCCATGATTGACATCAAGGTTGGATACTACAGCAGGTTTGGCATTTAATCCTTGCAGTCCAGCAATCGTCGTTTGAACATCGA